ACACTACCCCCTGCTCATTCCAACTGACAAGGTGGTTACAAGGATAAGGGAATGGAGAGGAAGGTGACAACACCGTTGCCTTCTGCACCCCAACTTTTAGCAAAGTGCCTGAGGCTGTGTTCATCGTCTTTAATATCAGTGGAAGGCAGACAGATGTAAGGTACTGTTTTTAGCAATTATTTCTCATGATGAGACCGTGACCGCAGGGACCAAAGAAATTGCATAACTTCTTTGCATGAAAGACCTGTGGGAGCAAACAACCTTGCAGCGAGCTTCCCATCTGGTCCAGAGCAGAGGCAGACGGGTGAGTGTTCAGACGTGCTCTCATACAGGTCAGAGCCCATTTACAGAAAGCAGCTCTTTAGAACCGAATGATTTCCCACCCACGGCTTCCGCCTGGCTCTTTTCAAGCAATATATCTGATACAATAAAATTTCAGTTTGGGAGAAAAAAAGAGAAAGAAGGGGCAGCTGAGAGGGACGGGGGGAGGGAGGAAATGACTTGTAGTGAATGCATAAATCCCTTGGAGCTTATTAAAAGGAGATTTGACTTACTACCTTTAAAAGATCACAATCTGTATTTTGAAAGTCAGAAGGTCTGTGAGATCAAGCGGATAAAAGGGGGCTTTGGGGAAAGAAACAAATGAGAATGTTGTTCTGACAAACAAAAAATGAAACGTCCTTGTTTTAATTCAGGAGTTTTTCAATTCAGGCGTTCACGGAGAACCCGAAAGGTGTCATCTCTTTCAGATTTGTCTACAACGAGCAGGACGTTGTGCTGGGTACAATGGCAGATTCAAAACTGCATCAGCCCATTCCTGCTCTGAGTAACTCCAGGCCGGAGACAAGGCACGTACATAAATCGTTCCCACCTAGGGCGGCCGGGGAGACGCTGGCCACAGAGGGGCACCTGGACGCTACAGGATCGCAGAAGGCCGAAGACCTTACAGTCGGAGGTTACGGTGGTTACCACTGAGCCTTGGAAGAGGAGTGGGAAGAAGCAAGAGGACCAGAGCTCCTGCCAGAGGGCCCCGCCTGAGCAAACTGCACGTGTGTGGAAACGCAGGCTCCTGGCAGAGACCTGGCGTGGTTCTGTGGAACAGGAGCCCGGGACACGTGACATGGAGAAACAGAAGATGAGGCTGGAACATCTGCTTTGAATGAAGGTAAGAAAGGCCTTAAATGACAGTGGAGTCTGGGCCAAAGTGAGGGCCAGCAGGAGCTATGGAGGCTTTCGAGCAAGGAAGGGTCAGAAGCCCAGTCTGGCTTCCAGGCGCTCGACCAGGCAGAGAGGAGGGTGGAAAGGCAGACGGGGATGCAGGAGGCAGGAGCGCTGATGAGGACGTACCTCCTGCAGGCAGGAGGCTGCTGCTAGCTCTTTGTGGAAGAGAGCGGTGTCCTGAGCCCGGAAGTCAGCTCTTGAACAGGCTTCTTCAGCACCAGACAAACGAGGGAAGGAGAGTTGTCAGCAGACGGCTCTGAAGACCAGAAGGGGGTAGGAGTGTGAGGCTGGACTCGGGGAGAGCAGGAAGGACGCAGGGCTGGAGGGTGAGTGAGAGGAGCACGGAAGAGGCCAGGGAAATGGAAGGCGCCCAGGAATGGACTGAGTGACCCCCCCAGGAACGAACTGAGTGACCCGCCCAGGTGCTGGAAGGTCTGGCAAAGCTGGAGACTGCCAGGAAAGAAGGAAAGGTGGCAGACTGACTCCGACGGCACTCACCGGACTGCAGCTAATTACAAAGCCAATTGGAACTGGCTAGAAAGAAGGGAGTTCCATCCTTGCCACCTCCAATCCTGCCTTGGTCGTGGGGTCGGCAGATGGCTGAGCAGGCAGGTACGTCCACCTGCACCCCAGCGACATGGATTTTCAATGGCGTCGTGTTGACAACCAGCAGCTGACACATCACCTCTCTCTGCAGGGGCATCTCCAGAGCCCTGGGAAGGGTTTTCCTAAAGCCCAGGCAAGGACTGGACCGCCACCTCGGCCAGAGAGGGCTGGGGACTTTAAAACACACTTCCATATATTTCACCTCACTTTATCCCCATCTTAGGTGAGAGACACAAGACAGATAATGTTATCCTCATTGTACGAAGTCCAGAGAAACTGAGGCCTTGGAGAAGTCACGAGATTGGGTGGAGCTTGATGACTTCCGCCACCCACCGCAGCCTGAGCCCAGCAGCTGGCCAGGACACCGGCCGTGGGCTGGGGCCATGTGGACACACACTCGCAGGGTCCTCAGGGCCATGATCGGTCTGGGTGAGAGGCTGGAAGGCGGTGCACAGCAGCAGCTGAGCAGGGCTGGCCTCAAAGAGAGTATCAGAAATGGCAATATCGACCGTTTCCTTCCTCCCTTCTCTCCCTCCTTCCCTGAGCCCCTGCTAAGTCTCACATGCCTGGAATCGTACTCGGTATGGTTGGCCACCCATGTCTCTGAGGGTCCCCGTCCTCAGGAACCCCATTACCTTGCCTTGCCCTGCTGCCAACAGTCTCCCACACCATCTTCCCAACTCAAACATACTATCCACTTCCCAAGTAAAATACACCAGGCCCAGGAGAGGTAAGAAACTCAAGTAGAGGATGTGACACTTGACCTGGGCCTCAAAGTATGCATAGGAGGTCACCTTGGACGCAAGCAAAGGCCTGGAGATGCCTCAGGGCATGGAAGGATCTGGTGTCAGTCAGGAGTTCTGTGGAGAGTGGGGAAGTGGTCGGCAGACGGGGACTTGCTGGAGATGAGGAGGGAGTAGGGCCCCTGGAGGGCCTGGGTTTTCCCTCCGCAGGCCCTGGAAGGCCATCCGAGAGCTTGAGGCAAAGGACTGGTAAACCATTTCAGTGCTTAGAAGGACAACTCCAGCTGGACAGCTGGACATGGAAGAAAGACCTTACAGGATGTGGTAGATATTCTGGGGAGAATGGATAAGAACCTGGGCCATGGTGGGATGGTGGGAGTGGTGACCCAGAGCCCTGATTAAAGACTTGTCCCTGAGCAGAAAATAGGGGCCTTCATTAATAATTGGATTGGGTTCCACTGGGAGGAAGGATCGCAGACTCTGTAGTGATGGCATTAATTGAGCCGGGAGGGAAGGAGGAAGAGACATAGGAACGGCGGAAGGCAGAGGCGGGAGGAATTCAGGTTAGGGCACAGAGAGTGTGAGGTGCCTGGAGACAGGTCCAGCGGCCACATGGAGGGATGCAGAAGCCGAGCGTGTAGGGAAAGAAGGGTGGAGTGTTAGAGGCTGCATGCTCAGGACCACAAAGGCTGAAGCCTGCAGACAGACCACTGGGTATGGCAAAGAGGAGGCTGCTCCTGGATGGCCTGGGCGAGAGCATCTGCAGGAGTAAAGAAGAGGTGGGAGGCAGATGCAGGTGGGCTGAGAGTGATGAAAGCAAGGGGACAGAGGAAGAGGTACATGTGGGCTCCTGTGTCCTGCTCAATCCTCATCTCTACCGCTTACATACCTTCCCAGCGCATCCAGGTAATTTCTTCCCTGCTCGAAGGGTATAATCATGCCATCAGTCACCTCCAGAGTAAAGGCCACACTCGGGACCCTAGCACTCCGTAGACAGCCAATGGGGCATTCAAGGTCTGCCTAACAACTACCACCCCAAGCCCCACTATGCATTGCCAACCAGAGACCAGACTCTATTAATTCCCAAACAAGCCTTGCATTTGCCACCTCTGCACCTTTGCTATTTCTGTTCCTTCTGCCTAGAACACCCTTCCTTTATACTCCTACTTGCTCAAATCTTGCCCGACCTTCCAGGTCCAAGAACCTTCCTCAATCCCCCAATCTAAATTAACTTCCCCTTGACCAGCAGAGCACTTAACCAAAATGTATGTCACAGGGTAGTGGCATATCCCCATTCTCTATCACCACTAGACTACAAACCCCTCAATAGCAACTGTCTCACGTCCAAGGCACTGCACACAGTTCTCAATCTGTGTCTGGTGTGTTGAACGCTGACCTTCTCCCTTGCTGTCCCCTGTCCCATTTTAATATTCCTGGCTGTCCTTTACTCCTCCATCCTACCAACCAACCAACCAAACGCAGGAACAGATCCATCCTAATGTCACTAACACCCTACCTGGGTGTCAGCCATTTAATAAAGCTGTAAGTGGGCAGGAACGTGGATGAGTTACTTTCCATAAGTGGGGATGTGAAATCGAAGTAGAGGCCCTATCTATGGCCAGAACTAGGTTGGTTCTCGGGTATTATTCAGTGTCCTCACTCAGTTCCTGCTCCTCTTGAGTCATAGCATGAAACTCATTCCTCTCTCCTACCCAACACGGGCCGTCACGATCCCTTCTCTTAGAAGCTCACTAACTGGTGTAGGAGTGAAAATCCGCACACAGAGAAGGTCCATTCCTTTCTCTGGGAGCATTTTCGTGCTGGATGTGTGGCTTGGAACATGAACTACGTAAAATAACGGGTCGAAGAGCTCACTTCAAGCTTGGGTGGTCATGGATGATTTTATGGGGGATGTGGGCTTCTGTTCCACCCAGAAGTACTAGTAAAGGCTGCGGTCTGGGAAGAAGTGGAAGGCCCACCCAGATGAGATCTGGACGTGAGAGTGAGGTAAAAGCCAGGATGCATCACCGATCAGTTTGTCTGGGGCAGCCAATTTCTGAGGGGGGCAGTGAGACATAAAACTAGAAAGGTCAGGGCTAGTTTGAGGGAGGCCGTTGGAATACCAGGTAATGGGGGGCCATAGAAGGCTTCTGAGGAAAGTGAAAAGCTTCTCGTGAAAAGTGCTTTTCTTTTTAAGGTGGCATAACAGGTTGTTGATAGTTGATGCGGGGTAGGCTGGCTTGAAGAAGAGCTGATAACCTGCACGTAAATGTTTGTTGCAATAAAACAGCATAAGGCAATGGAAACAGAGTAGACTATTTAGCAAGCTTACATAGAAAATGAAAATGGGAAGACTTCAAAATAAAAAAACCAACCAAAGGTTTGTGTTCCTTGGGAACCAGGTATCCCTTCCCACTGGCACCATGTTACCTGAGGGGCCAGAGAGAGATGCCGACTCTTCACTAAGCAAAGTCCTCTGCGGTGAGGCACCCAAAGCCCCAGTGTGGTTTGATTAGTGGAAAACCAGGCGGTGAGTGAGAAATGTCATTCACTCCGGTCATTTTCATTCAGGGACTAGCAAAGTCCTCTTCGAATCTTCAGCCAACGTATTTTATTCAATGTGAAAGCCACTAAATTAATTTTTTAACATAATAAGAGTAGAAATTGTCAATTTTAGAAGCACATATGCGAATTTCCCTGCACAGGAGAGAACATGAATCCTATTAGTTAAAAATAGCAGTTGTGCTCACTTTCCCCCACATGCTAATTTTAATAAACTTACTCTGAAATTAGCCTGCCACTAGGAAGATAGCAGCTCATCCAAAATGTTCCCAGTAAGCACGAAGCTTGCCTTGCAAGAGTTCAAGTACTCCCAGGAAACTCTGAACAATGCAGAGTTCTAAATGGAACTCATCTCTTCTCACCAGACTCAGCCACCCCCAACCCTCTATCACACCCAGCGTCACCAACTCTCAAAGGTCATCTCGGACTCCTTCAATTTCATCTTCCCGACACAGCTGACTGTGAAATCCTATCGGGGTCTTTTTAAAAAAATCTTCATAACCATCCTTTTACCTCTATTCCTACTGACGCCATGTCTCCTTATCACTTTATTTATTCAAACATCCACATTCATATATTCTACAATTAATACCTACAAAGGGCAAAATATAGTGCAAAGAGCTAAGGCCACAAATTAATAACACATGGTCGCTACTCTCAAGGAGTTCAAGATCTTTTGGGTTCAGTGGAGAGATAAACAAGTTACGAGTTAGAAAACCGTGTGATTAGTGGTATGACTTAGGTGCAAAAGGAATAATCGGGAATGTTGGTGGTGACAGAAAAGACTAGATTACTGGTCTCTCGTCTTGTCTTTTCTTGATTCCTGGCAAAGTTACCAAATTTGCCTGTACATACCCAGTGCCTGGCATAGTGCCTCGTAGATGTAAGAGCTCCGCGATCATTGAGTTCAGTGGAAACAAATCTATTCCAAATATTTTCATCAACTTGTACTCCATCTAAAAAAGCACCCAGTGCCTATTACCAGCTACATTAGAGCACACCCTCTGTCTTGCTTTTGAACTCGTTCACCATCTGGTCCACCCTGGCTAGTCCAGGCTTAACGTCTGCTCTACCCCAACCCACTGGTAACAGCCTTCATCAGAAGCATTTCCTCAAAAGTCAACCACCAGCCCAGGGCTCATGCCTGCTTCCCATCATGATCATCTATGCCCTCTTCAACCAAAGGGGAGGGACCCCAGTTCAAGTTCCACTGCCTCTGAGAAGCTTTTTCCCACTTCTCAAGCCTTACCAACTATCTATATATGTGCTCACTATTGGGCACTGCTTTTTCATTTAATAATATTATTAATATGAATAATGCCCTTGAAATATTAACTCATGTCCTATCTACCCACCTTGCCTCCATTTCCTATAACCCCTACCTCATTTCTCACTACACATCCCTCTCCCCTCCCTTTTTAAGAAGCCAGACATCCTGCCTTCGTGTTCCCAGGAACGGAGCACCCAGCGAAACACAGGTAACAAAGTGATTGGCTTTTCAGTGTTGAAAGTTTGGTCCTTAAGACATCAAGGCATAGAAGAGTCTCCCCAGGAGCTTTCTCTCCCAAAGCCCCCCAAAAAACTAGAAAGATCTCCAAAGTTAAGGAAAGGACAGAATCAGAGTGCAAGGAAGGAGAGCTTGGTTATCAGGGAGTCTCTAAGAATGAACACAGAGCTCTGCCTAATCAGCCTGAGTGGGGAGAGCAGAGTGAGAACCAGGGGAGAGGGGTGGGCGCAAGACTAGTCTTGATGGAAACCTGATGAGGCGGGGTCCTGGAGAGGTAAGGACTAAAGCTCTCTAGAGAGATGGTGATCTTGACTGTCCATCTCTCCCCTTTAAAAATAATTAGTTTTATGGAGACATAATTCACACAGAGAAAGATTCCTCTTTTTTGGGTGTGCAGCTCTATGAATTTTAGCACACGTATACAGTCATGTAGTCATCAGCTCCATCGAGGCATAGAATACGTCCATCACGCCAGAAAGTTCCTTCATGCCCCTCTGTCGTCAATCTGCTCACCCTGCTCTCAGGCTCTGGCAACCACCGATCTGTTTCCTGCCATTTTAGCTGCGCCTCCCCCAAAATTTCATATAAATGGAATCTTACAGTAGGTACGCTTGGCTTGAGCCTCTAGTTTCTTTCACTTGCCAATATTTTCTCTTTTTTTAGTATAATTGGTACACAGTGTTACTTTAGCTTCAGGTGTACCAAATGTTTTAAAGACTCATTCATGTTTTTGCATGGATCAGTGATCTGCTCCATCTTAATGCTGAGCACGCTCCTGCTACACGGATGTGCAGCAGTTTACCTGCTCATCCGTTCATGGACGTTGGGACTGTTTCCATTCTCAGCAACTATCAAGAAAAGTCTATAAACAGTCACATACAGGTTTTGGTGTCAACACATGTCTTCACTTCTCTGGGGCAAACTAGGGACAGGATTGCTGGGTTATTCAGTTAAGTGTATGTTTACCTTGACGAGAAATTACAAAACTGCTTTCATGTCCCATACCTCCGGCGACGCATGGGCTTTCCGGCTGTTCTGCATCCTTGTCAGCACTTGGTTTATCCATTTTTTATTTGTTTGTTTTTCCATTCTAATAGGTGCGTCGGGGGGATCTCACTGTGGTTTTAACTTACGTTTACCTCCCGACGGATGATGTGGAGTATCTGTTCACGTGCTTGTTTTCCATACAAATCTCTCGAGGGCAGGGTCTATTGAACTCTTTTGCCATTTTAAAAATTAGGTTGTTTTCTTATTATTGAGTCGTGAGGGTTCTTTCTGTGTTCCAGGCATGAGATATGTGCTCTGCACAAATTGTCTCCCAGCCTGTGGCTTATCTTTTCATCTCCTTAATGGAGTTTTTCAGAGCCGAAGTTTTAAATTTTGATAAAGTCCAATTTATCCTTTTTTCCTTTTATGGTTGTATTTTTCATGTCCTATGTACCCTTCTTACTTTTGAATCTCCTAAATTTGGAAAAATTGTCTCAGGTGGTGATAAGAAGAACCCTCCCAAATTTAAGCTGGGCACATCCTGCTAATGATGATATTCCCTAGCCTCTCTTACAGCAAGGTGCGGCCACATGACTATGCTCAGACCAAGGGGATGTGAGCAGAAGTCATCCCTCGCCCTGGACTCCCCCTGCCCTCTTTTTCTCCATTCTCATGGGCTGGGGCAAAAACATGGTAGCAACCAGCTTTACACATACAGTTGAGGACCATCCCCAAGACACACTGGAGTAGGAAGGTGCCCCCAAATCCAGGTTCTAAAATGCCCTGGGGAGCAGGGCCGCCCTCCCCAGCTGGACCACCACACTGTAATGTGAATGAGACCTACACATCTACCTTATTAGAACGATATATTTTTAGGGTAGGTATCTTTGTTGCCGTGGCTTAAACTTGACCCTAACAATCTACCCTTCTTTCTGAGGAAGCAGGAAATAATCCCAAGGGTCTTGGACACAGCCTGCTGTCATGTGGTACATCTACGCAGACAACTGCACAATAGTTTCCACAAGCTTCCCTCAGCTGAGGAGTGATTCGGGGGCGGCAGGATACGAATGCCTTGCCCCTAGCCTGGGCCAGAGAGTGAAGTCCCCTATGCTCAGAGCAGTGACTGAGCACTACATGGACGTGAGTAGCATAAGAGGGGGACAAGGAGGGACACAACAGTGACCTCTGACCAGACACTAGCCTGAAATGAGACTGTGGCCAGGCACCAGATGTGTGCCCCCCACCCCCATCACCCCTGCCAATGGTGGAGTCCTGCTCGTGCCCCCTAGGACGTAAATACAAGCTCCGGGAAAGGGGGAGGCATGACTCCTCTCCAAATTATCCTTCCACCACCCTTACCATGGGAACCCGTAACCAAAATTCAGGTGTTGTAGCAAAATACAGAAGTCTTCATTTTGTGAATACCCAAGTTTCCGTCCTGAGGTTCATGGTCACTGTACTAATGTTCACAGACCATCCGCCAGGCAGAGGCCGAAGCACTAACCAGCACTACTTCCTTTGAGCCTCACAGCACCTATGAGGGGCCATTTTATTACTCTATTGAAGATGAGGAAAAAACGAGGCTCGGAGAAATTGCACAGTGAGGTGATTCTTTCAAGTCCATTCTGCTTCTGGCAAACAGCCCCCAGGGCCCTGACCTGCTTTCGGGCCATGTGGCTTCCAGGGCAGGGCCTAAGACCGTCAGATCACCACGCTCCTGAGCACTTTCGTTCCAGGGCAGGCCAGTGATCTGAGTGGGTTCATGGGGAGTGATTCCTGTGGTTTTATGGAATGTACTACATAAGAGCTTCTGTTTTCCACTCTGAACTTGAATGTATGGGAGGCTGAGGCTGAAGACAAACAGCAAGGAGACCCAAGCGTCTGTGTGAGTAGGGAATCCAGCTGTGCCCAAAACCACCCTACCTGGGAATCAGGAGTCAGGCCAGCTGTATTGGTTTGCTAGAGCTGCTTGTAACAAATTGCCATAAACCAGGTGGCTTGAAACAAGAGAAATGAACTCTCTGATACTCCTGGGGGTTAGAAGTCCAAAATTAAGGTGTCAGCAGGGCCATGCTCCCTAATAATGCTCTAGGGGAGGACTGCTCCTTGCCTCTTCCTAGCTTCTGGTAGTTGCCAGCAATCTCAGGCACTCCTGTTAGCTGCATAACTCATCACATGGCCTTCTTTCTTCTGTAACTTCACATTGCCTTCCCTCTGTGCATCTCTACATCCAAATTTTCCTCGCCTCATTGGATTAGGAGCCCACTCTAATGACCTCACCTTAACTTGATTACGTCTTCAAAGACTCTATTTCCAAATAAGGCTACGTTCACAACTGTGGGGTGAGGGTTAGGATTTGAACATATGTTTTTGGGGAGCACAATTCAACCCACAACACCAGCCAATTAATTCCCTGAGCTGAACCACTTTGGGTTGGGTTTTTGATCATTTGCACCCAGAAAGAGGAAGCCAAGA